AATCAAAAAGCCCAATTTAAAAAGTATCTAGAGCGAATTGAAGATCCTAATTATCAAGGTGGTTCATGGGCTTTGCCCGAGAATCCAACTACTTCTGAAAAAACCAAATATGAACTCTGTGAAAAAGTAATCAAATATAAACGGAATCATAAGTTTACTACTGAGAAATTAGCCCAAAAACTTCAACTAAGTAAAGCCGAAACCGAAGATATTCTTTATTGTCGAATTGATTACCTAACCTTAGACCGTTTACTAGCTTATACTGACAAGTTATTTGCTCCTGCTCAGGTAGAAATAATTATCAAAGAACTAAAACCACGCAAAAGAAGTGCCATTTATGCCTAAATCTCCTAACTCCAAAGAGAAAGTTTGTGAACATGATTGTCAACTAATTTTCAATGAGTTAGCAATCACCAAAATAACTATTACTGATTACTACCAAACTAAACCGGGACGGAAAATGATTACCCATGAATTAATTGTGGAATTAATCAAAACCTTAGATGGTCGTCAAGCCGAACCTGAACCTAAAAAAAACCCTCACGACAGAGAAGTCTTTGTAAGGAATAGAATCCTTTATAAGACAAAAAAGTATCGACTTATTTTCTGATTTAAAGATAATACGAATCATCATCTTTGGATTAGAAATTGTCATGAGCAGGATTAGATTTTATTTACCCTACCCTAATATTTAACAACAAACCTTTATCAATTTTTAACAAGACAATACATAAAAATCATGGGATACAAAGCCGAAGAAATAGAAAGAAAATTCAGAAGTGTAGCCAGCATCCGCATATGGTCTAAAAAACCAGAATATACTAATGATTCTGGATACTGAACTGGTGGACGCTGTAATTGAGGCTTAGCACACAACTTAAAGGAAGATTGTCAACTTCTTGCGAAATTCTTTGACAAGATTACTGAGTTGAAAAATGCTAAGAGCAAGATTACAAGGTTTGAGTCCCAAACAGAATTTGAAGAAAACAAACGGAAATTAACTAGACAATGTCAAGAAGCGATAAATGGTTTGCAAATAAGAACTGGCTCTTCTACCTCCATCGGTGGTGTTTGCCTTATTTGGGCTGATTATGCTGACCATCTAGATGGACTAATAAGTGCTTTTCGTAGAGACCTAGAAAGTTTAAACGGAGAGATAGATAGAATTCCTTACGATGTAGGGAAAAAATTAAAGAAATTGAAAATCGAGGAACAAAACCTCAAAAGAACGATTGAAGAAAATCTTAAAAGAGCCAACTCAGAGAAAGATCCTGATAAGAAAAGAAAGTTATTGATTTTAGTAGATGAAGATAAAAAGAAACTTCAGACAAACTATGAAGAACAGAAGAAAATCAGAATAGGAGAAAATTTTGATCCTGATAAAAGTATCGATGAATTTATCAACGGAATAGAAGATAAATTGGCAGGTAGAAATAGACCTTCACGAAATCCCAGAACTCCAAACATTGATCCAACTGGTTCTGGTGGAGGTTCTGGTTCTAGAACAGGTGGTGACACCAGTAATCCTCTTGATCCTTTCCAAACCAACCCTAATTCTAACCCCAATCAAAATCCCTTTCAAAACAAGCAATTAATTATTTTTGCTGGAATAGCAGTCTTAGTATTCCTTTACTTCTATTCTCAATCCTCTAAATCTAAAGAAGAAAACTATTATTACGACTTCTAAAACTATGACTAATCCCCAAGACCTAAAAAATAAACTCGGTGAATACACTAAAGAACTAGAACAAAAACTTGAACCTTGGCAAAGGGGAACCTTAATTCTAGCCTTAATCACTCTTCTTCTAATCTCTATTTACTTACTCACTAAAAAAGAACCTCCTCAACCAAGGGAACTCACGGACACTGAACGCAAAAGAATAGAAGCAATTGCGGAAGAACGCATTCTTAAAAGAGCCGAATTCCTAAATCGACTAAGAAAATAACATGGTAAACATACTAGGTAAAGAATTAGAAAAGAAACAAGAACAACAGTTAAAGATAATCATTCTTTTACTAGTGGTTGGAGCAATTTTTTATTTCAATGTTTACCTCCCTGAACAACAAAGACAACAATTAG